GTGGTTTGGTTTTTTTGCTGCAGGCAAAGTTGCTTTTACCACTCAGGTGCTCTTTCTCTACGCCTCTTTCATAGTCGCCGTGGATCCTGTAGCTGTGCTGACAGTGTTCCATGAAATCGGTGTCGATCCCTGCTTGTACTACATAGCTCTTGGCGAATCCCTGTTCAATGATGGTGTGACTCTCATCCTCTTCAAAATCGTTCAACAATTCCTTGATTCTAAGAGCGTCACTGCTAAAGGTATATTAATCGGTCTGGGGGCATTCTTAACCATCAGTCTTGGTGCTATTGTGATTGGTGTTGTACTGGGCGTTCTGGCCTGCATAATCACTAAATATAGAACCCATTTTGAGGTGGTATTCCTTCTTGGTGTCGCCTACACATCCTACATACTCGGTGACGTTTTGGGCTGGTCCGGACTGGTTGCATTGATCACCTGTGCCATGATTCAAGCCGCGTATGCATTCCACAATCTGGAAACGAATGATCTCTACACACTTAGATCCATCAGTCGGCAGTTGAGCGAGATATGTGAAGGCATCATCTTCCTTCTCATTGGAATCAAATTGCTCGAGAAGCAGCTCTATTGGCACATGTCGTTCAATCTATGGTCCCTACTCACATGTCTGGTGGTCCGTGCCCTTGTGGTGTTTGTGCTGAGCCTCTACATCAATCGCTTCTACCTGAATATCTCGACAATAAGTCTGACGGAGCAATTCATCCTAGCCTATGGTGGATTACGTGGAGCTGTTGCCCTTTCCCTCGCCATAATGGTGGATAAGCAGAAGGTTGAACAACGTGTCTACGACACCCTGGTAACCTCAACTCTCTTCACTATCCTCTTCACTGTTGGGGTGATGGGTCCAACAATGCGACCGCTTGTAAAAATTCTTCATATCAAGCTAGCTCAGCGCAAAACCATTAGTCTAGTCCGCGTGCTAAACGAGCGGATGATTGATGAGATTGCAGCAGGTGTGGAAGGCATCATTGGTCGCTATGGCCGTAATTCTCTTAGAGCCTACTTCGTACGTCTAGATGAGGATTACATACGTGGTTTCCTTCAACGACAACCAAGCTCCCACAATGCAGGAATTGTAAAGGTCTACGAGGAGATGGCATTGGTTCTTCACCTGGCCTCTCTTCGATCACCGCAACAAGCGGCATCCATAATGCGTGACTTGCCTGCCACCATCCAACTGCGTCAGTTTGAAGCCATTAATATGGAACACGAGGCTAGCAGAGCTGAAATGCAGAAGATGACTCAGTTCTCCGCAGCCCATTCATTTCTTGGTGTAATGCGGCGAAGAAATGCGACACTATACCTAGAGGATGACTGTGGCACAGCACCGCACAGAAGGGGTTTGCAGCGATTCAGCTTCCTTTGTGAAATGCCGAAATTATTGGCAGCTAAAAGAGTCCAGATTTTAAGTCTGTCTTCTCAGTTGGCAGAGACCACGCCCTCCGACAGAAACGCGGACGCGAGGCCGCAGGAGGAAGCCGAGAAGGAGAACGATAGGGCAAAGAAAGGGAGAAGAAGCAGGAATGTGATCAACAGGTGATGGTGTTTATGCCTTCGTGTGAATACTGTGTTTGTATTGTCGATTTCAACTTTTCCATAAAAAACTGCTTAAGTAAAAGTCTTGCCTCCTCTATTTACAGGCACCCTGCAATGCATTTCAGTAAACCCTTTAGCTATTTACCTTTGGGGTCAGCAGTTGAATCATCTCTTTCAAAACTAATTCCCAAGTTTTTTAATAAAGCTGTTGTAAATTTATGCAATGTACTCCAAAAGTAGAACTTCAGCCGTATTAATCAGCTGAAAGTGGTGTTTACATGACTGAGTCGAAATACGCGTCATAAGAGGTAATAATGTCGGCTGGATATTGATTAAGTAGCTTCATGCGTCATTCGTGTAAGCAGAGCAGTCATGGAGTGCGATCGATCTATAAAGTCAATCAATTCTGGGATGAGTCACTTGCACTTGCTACAGGGTTTTCGGCATTATTTACTAGGCCGTGAACTCGGGAGCGTTAGGTGACAATTTTGTTAGGTGTATTTTTTTTTCGCAAGACCTTAAGCAGCTACATTCTTTTGCTACCGAGCGAGCGTGTTTAAAGAAACCATAAATATGCGTAGCAGAAGTGAATCGTATTTTTTTTCACTTGTTAATAAACCTTGGAAGTCTGTGACTGACGATCCCTATAATCTCAAGGGGAAGTAATTTGCTTCTTTGAATTACTCACACTTTTGCATTTGAATT